AAAATTTCTAGGAATTTTATTTTTCTTTTCTTTCTGACCCCCTTTCCCACTTACCCCCCCCCCCCCCCCCCCCACTTGACGTCATAAGTGAACGGTCAGAGTTTCCTTTTTTGGGGGGTGGGGGGGGGGGGCAAACCCCCTTTTTTTGAAAAGATTTGTTAAATTCGAGAAAAAAAATCTTAAAACCAACTTAAATGTTCCCCTTAAAAATATTTTAAATCCCCCCAAAAATTTCAAAAAATGCGCCTTAGCCACCCATCCACAAGGAACATCCCAATCTAAATAATTTCTATGTACTCATGTTTAACAAATATCACATATGGAATCAATAAATTTTTTTTTCTCTATTTTGTATAAATTGTAATTGAAAAGTGTTTCTCATAATTTGAAGACATTTTTGATGCATGTACAACAAGGAAGAGAAATTTTACGACATTTAATGTTATTGAATTTGAAGGAAACGCCTTTTTTGAAACATCTTGAACTTTCTTTCGATATTGAATTTTTAAGGCTTGCTTCTTGGAAAATTTTAAAACTTTTATTGCTTCAATTAGGTTTGTTGAAAAATATAAAACAAGTTTTTACTTTTATAAGCTTATTTATAAATTCCGATGAATTTTATTCCTGATAGAAAGTTCTGGTACGATGTCTTGAACCTTGAAATACTTAATTAAACTGTTTAATTTTTCTTGAAATTATTTTTAAATTTTGACAATTAGCAAAAAAATTTCTTTGAAATTAAAAGTTTCAAAACATTATCTTAACAACCGTAAAATGTCTAATTAGCACTGAGAAGCTTTACAAGTTGTTTGAAAATTTCATAATAATTTACTGAATTAATGAACCTATCGAAAAGTATCAACAAATATTTACAGTAAATATTTTATGATTTTAAAATAAATAACATTTTTGATTGAATTTTTAAGGTATGCAAAGCAATTTTCTCAATTTCATATTTTGCTCATCGATTTTAAAGATTCAAAAATTGTTTAACGGTTTTTTCAAATTCAAAAATTTTGCTATAAAAATCTTGAAAACTTTCATTTGAAGTTTTTGTTCCGAATATTATTTATTGAACAATAACATTGTATTCAATGTTTCGATGCAATGCATTTTTCAAACAAGACTTTTATAAAATGATTCAATGCACTATGGGCCAGAAATGGAAAATTTTTCCAAAAATTATTTCTACAGCTTATATGATAGTTCTTATTCTGCCCTACATTTACGTCCTTAAAACTTTGCCCAAGTCGACAGCATGTCCGAGATATGGCACTTCAAAGTTGGTCAGACGACCATTTTCACGTTACATTGAAAATGCTCTCACCAGATACTGGATGGATGAATCTCCTTCAAATTTTTTTTGTTAATAGCTTTAAATTGTTACTTTATTTTAAAATATAAACAATTGCAAATAACTTTGGAAAATTTTGTGAAAAACTTGATTTTTCTCAAAAACCACGTGTTCGTCATACTTTCGTTTGTGTAGGTCTTCACAAGCACAACCAAAGTTACTAATTTCTTTTTTATATTAAAGACTACATCAAAAGCTATAACTTTTGCATACATGTCGTATAATTTTAACAAAGTTTTTATAGTGAAAAAAAATTTTTTTATAAAAAAAACACCAATTTTTTGACAAACATCGCTGTAGTGCTTCAGGGATACCCATGGTAGTGGAATTTTATTTCACATTTAAAAAGTTCTCTAGATATACTATCAATTAATGCAATAAAATGAACAAGTGTTCTCTTGGCAAAGAGCACTTTTTTGACTCTGAAAGTCGTATGTCGAGCAAGGTCAAAAAAGAAAAATAATCATAAAAATTTCAGTTTTAAATAAAATTTAATTTTTTTAAGTTAGATTGATAGATCTTTTCAAAACGCGTCTTTTGAGTATAAATATGTCATAGTTTTGTCAAGTTTCATGATCATTTTTTTAAAAAAATAGTTTTTTTTCAAAAAAAAAATTGAAAAATAAAGTATTTGACTTTAGAATTTCATAAAATGCATTCTTTTTATCATTTTTTTCACTACTTTGTCTAGTTTTGCTCCTAGTTTTTTTCCTAAACATAAATCAATAAGAACTTAACATAATTGAAGCCATTTGGAGGTTAAATTGAGTTAAAAATCGTTTAAAATTTTTGTATTTCTCAAATAGTTCTTTACACAAGTATCTAAGATATAAAGTGTTGCATAGTTTTGAAAAGGTATTAAAATTTCCAATATGTTAACATGAAGAGTTTTGGAAAATTTTCAAGTAATATAGTCAATTTGGGTAAAAGACGCATTTTATATATGCTAGTTTTTAATGTTTTTCGTTTTTCTCAGCAAAGACTTTATGAAAAACTCTCAAAGTTTGCACACTTATTTGTTATATACATGTAAATGACTCGTATAAGTTTTGGAATTTTCCATTGAGTTTTTCATGAGTTCTCCAAATCTGAAATTTTCAATATTAAAAATTCATTTTTCTCAATAATTGCGATTTTTTATTTATAAAAAAATATCTTATTTTGTTTCATTTTTCAATATCTTTTCATTGTTATATAACAATCTACGAAAAAATTAAGACTAAAGAGAAATCAATAAAAAAGTGTCAAAAATTTTTGAAAATTCTACGCTATTTTAATTTTTTAAGCCTTTTCTGGTCAATTGCTAAGTTTTATAAGAGTGTTATACCTTTTTGGAATTATATAACTTAATACTTTCATCCACTAAAATTCTTATGAGTCTACGATAAGCACAACTGAAGTTAAATAAGCTTCACGTTGGCGACAAAAGACAGTTCCATATGAAGAAAACCAGATATTAATTTTATTGCTATTTGAGCTATAATATTAAGCTTTTTCATCTAGTTTTGTTATAAATGTTTCATGTATTTAATAGCAGCCTGAAGATATAATTTAAAGCTTTTAAATAATTTGATTTTAAAAAATTCAAAATTTTTGGTTGTCGCCAACGTGAAGCTTATTTAACTTCAGTTGTGCTTATCGTAGACTCATAAGAATTTTAGTGGATGAAAGTATTAAGTTATATAATTCCAAAAAGGTATAACACTCTTATAAAACTTAGCAATTGACCAGAAAAGGCTTAAAAAATTAAAATAGCGTAGAATTTTCAAAAATTTTTGACACTTTTTTATTGATTTCTCTTTAGTCTTAATTTTTTCGTAGATTGTTATATAACAATGAAAAGATATTGAAAAATGAAACAAAATAAGATATTTTTTTATAAATAAAAAATCGCAATTATTGAGAAAAATGAATTTTTAATATTGAAAATTTCAGATTTGGAGAACTCATGAAAAACTCAATGGAAAATTCCAAAACTTATACGAGTCATTTACATGTATATAACAAATAAGTGTGCAAACTTTGAGAGTTTTTCATAAAGTCTTTGCTGAGAAAAACGAAAAACATTAAAAACTAGCATATATAAAATGCGTCTTTTACCCAAATTGACTATATTACTTGAAAATTTTCCAAAACTCTTCATGTTAACATATTGGAAATTTTAATACCTTTTCAAAACTATGCAACACTTTATATCTTAGATACTTGTGTAAAGAACTATTTGAGAAATACAAAAATTTTAAACGATTTTTAACTCAATTTAACCTCCAAATGGCTTCAATTATGTTAAGTTCTTATTGATTTATGTTTAGGAAAAAAACTAGGAGCAAAACTAGACAAAGTAGTGAAAAAAATGATAAAAAGAATGCATTTTATGAAATTCTAAAGTCAAATACTTTATTTTTCAATTTTTTTTTTGAAAAAAACTATTTTTTTAAAAAAATGATCATGAAACTTGACAAAACTATGACATATTTATACTCAAAAGACGCGTTTTGAAAAGATCTATCAATCTAACTTAAAAAAATTAAATTTTATTTAAAACTGAAATTTTTATGATTATTTTTCTTTTTTGACCTTGCTCGACATACGACTTTCAGAGTCAAAAAAGTGCTCTTTGCCAAGAGAACACTTGTTCATTTTATTGCATTAATTGATAGTATATCTAGAGAACTTTTTAAATGTGAAATAAAATTCCACTACCATGGGTATCCCTGAAGCACTACAGCGATGTTTGTCAAAAAATTGGTGTTTTTTTTATAAAAAAATTTTTTTTCACTATAAAAACTTTGTTAAAATTATACGACATGTATGCAAAAGTTATAGCTTTTGATGTAGTCTTTAATATAAAAAAGAAATTAGTAACTTTGGTTGTGCTTGTGAAGACCTACACAAACGAAAGTATGACGAACACGTGGTTTTTGAGAAAAATCAAGTTTTTCACAAAATTTTCCAAAGTTATTTGCAATTGTTTATATTTTAAAATAAAGTAACAATTTAAAGCTATTAACAAAAAAAATTTGAAGGAGATTCATCCATCCAGTATCTGGTGAGAGCATTTTCAATGTAACGTGAAAATGGTCGTCTGACCAACTTTGAAGTGCCATATCTCGGACATGCTGTCGACTTGGGCAAAGTTTTAAGGACGTAAATGTAGAACAGAATAAGAACTATCATATAAGTTGTAGAAATAATTTTTGGAAAAATTTTCCATTTCTGGCCCATAGTGCAATGTTCTTATACAAGTTTTTTATTGAATGCAAAACTTTTAAACAATACTGTTGGATGAAAAGATTGTTTACAATTATTGAAACTTATATGCAAGATTATCACTCATGTTCAATGATTTGATGCAACAACACTTCATTCAAAACTTGTACAACATGTATTGAGATTGAATGCAATGTTTAGATTGATCAACTAAGTTGTAAATAACATTAAAGAGCTATAGCTTGCGATAAAATCTTAAAATCGTATCGAATGGTTTGAAAATAAAGTTCAAGTATTTCATACAATTTCTTCTTTAAAAGAACTTCCAAATATTTTCATCTAAGTTTTAGTTTTTAAAGTTCATTGTAAATGTCAGTTGAAGTTCTTACAGTAGTTAAATAAGGAACTTTTTCCTATAAATATAAGTTTCAATAATTTCAAATTTCAAATCCAGTTACATTTATTCTCAACAACTTAGTTCCATTTATCAAATTTATTCATACATATCGACTCTTTAATTCTCTTCTTAGAATTTTCCCTGTTGTATTTTTTGGAATCGTATCCACAAATTCGACACCACCTGCTAACTTTTTGTAATCACTGACTCTTTGTGCCACATATTCTTGAACACTTTTCTCACTTATCTTTGATCCTTTTTTAGCTACGACAAATGCTCGAGGAAGTTCACCAGTTGCTGGATTTGGAACTCCAATAACAGCTGCGTCTGCAATATCTGGATGCATTCTTAAGATTTCTTCTAGTTCCGCTGGAGCAACTTGAAATCCTTTAACTTTAATCAATTCCTTAAGTCGATCAGTAATGTAAAAATTTCCTTGCTCATCATGATACCCAATATCTCCAGTTCTAAGCCATCCATCAGATGTAACAGTGTCTTTAGTTGCTGTCTCATTGTTATGATAGCCAAGCATTATTTGTGGTCCACGAATAAGTACTTCTCCAGTTTGATTTGGACCTAATCCTCGAAATTCTGGATCATTAATATCAACAACTTTGCATTCTGTATCATGAATAGGATCTCCAATGCTAGCATAATTTGTGGAGCTTTTGGCTGACATATGAGTAACTGGACTGGCCTCTGTTAAACCATAAGCTTGGATGTATTGTGTTTGTGGAGATATTTTCAAGAATTTCTCGATATCCGAACTCCCCAATGGTGCTGCTCCAGATACAACATAGCGAATCGATCTTGTATGTTTTGGTCGAATCTTTTCATAATTGTTGAAGAAAATGACTGAAAATAATAAAAGTCAAGCTCAATAAATTTGCATTTAAAACTTTTCATCGAGATTTACTCATCGGTGGTGCCAAATGAAGTGCAGTTCCTGGATACTTTTCCATAGCACTCAAAAATGTTTCAGGATGGAATCTAGGTACAGTCACTAGCTTACAACCTTGAGCTAATTTTGCTAATAGAGTAACAACTAATCCATAAGCATGAAAGAATGGAAGAACACATGGAATAACGTCTTGATTGTCTGGAGTTGTATCTGCAGCTAGTTGAAGCTCAGCACTTCTTAGTGCTAATGAGTTTGTGACGATATTCCAGTGGGAAAGCATGACTCCTTTATTAAGACCTGTTGTTCCACTGTAAAGGAATTGGAAGCAGAATAAAATGGGAAAATGAAAAAGTTTAAGATTAATGCAAACCTGGAATATGGAAGAAATGATACAGCATCAATATCTCGCTCAGTTTCAGGCAAAGACATCAAGTCTAGTCCTAAAACAAAAACATCATTAATAACAATCCATAATTGGGTCATCGCATCAAGCTTACCTCTTGTTTCAATAAGTTCACTCAGCCTGATTCCATCAGCAGGAATAGATTCAGATGGTGAATTAGTGACATAAACAATTTTGATATTTCTCTTAGCTTTGCTAATGGCATGCTTAAAAATGCTACTCATGCTCACGTCACCAAAGAGTAGTTTTGCATTACTGCTGATTAATTGGCGCGAAATTTCCTCTAAAATTAAATAATAAGGACAAATTGATAAGCATTGTTGACATCAAGTATCAAATTTCAATGTCAATAAACTCGATTTGTATCTTATCAAAAAGAAAGGAACAAGCTTTAGCTTAATAAGAAGCAATCGATTTATTTTGAAGATAAAAGTTCAAATTGAGTTGTTTGTCATACCTGACGTGTAAATTGGATTAATTGTCGTAACAGTCAGTTCAGCTTCAGAACCGCCTAGAGCAACGATAGGAAATTCGATAGAATTAGGCAGACACAGTGCGATTGTGTCATTTCGTTGTAAATTAAACGATGTTCGAAGTCGAATAGCCAAAGCACGACACTTGTCTCGTAATTCACCATATGTTATGGATCTGTCAGTTATACCATCAACCTTTGGTGAATCATTGATTGTTAAATATGAAAATTAGATCGAAAATAAAGGATTTAATTAGTGATTAATTTTTATTAGCGTAACTTGCTAGCTATTCTCAAAAAAAGCGAGCCGTTATTGAATAATATAGAATCTGCAAGTGTAGGACGTAATTTTGAACCCCTTGCAGGCTCGTTGCAAAGGAGAGAATATGGGGGGGGGGGGCAATTCTAGCTCCATTGCCCCGTCCCAAAACTTCTTCAACCTGCTACGTTTATTGAGAAAAAAATTAAAATAATTTTAAAATGCCCTAAAGACCCCCAAACTCAAAAAATTCCTGGCTGTGCTCTCCTGTGCTTATCAAGGCCCGGTTTCTAGGTTTTGCTCTAATCCTTATTATAGTCCCTCTCTCTCTCCTAGTCAAAATCAATTTATATTTCAACCCTTTGAAATCCATCGATTTTTAATTCAAAGGAACCATTAAGGGTCGTTCACTTATGACGTCCAACGCATAATTCAAAAAATTTGTGAAACATTGTGTAGGGGTCAGGAAATTTGTGACATCCAATTTTTTAATCAGGAAATTATAATTTTTTTGTGTCTTGGATTGGACATCACAAGGGAGGGGAGTATTGACATCTGTGACAGTTTTGTGATAGAGGGGGGAGAGGGGGTGTCTAAAAATTAGGTTTTTTTATGGACATCATAAGTGAACGGCCCTTTAGATAGTTGCAGAAATTGAACTTTAATAAGAAATTAAAAAATCAATCGTTAAGCAATTAAGTTTAATGCAAGCTGTTAAACATAAATGGAATATATAACAATTATTTCCAAAACCCAGGAATGCATAACTCAAAACAGATTATTAAAATTAATTAAAGTAGCAACTTATTTGCTTCGAATAAAAATTAGAATAAATTACAATTTTCTAGAATGTCTGACCCTTGATAGACGATTTTTTCGATAGTTTAGTAAATATTGATAAATATTCATAAACAACAAAACACTTTTTTTTCTCTCAAACAACTCAAATAATAGAGAGAATCATATGAACAAATTTGCATACAGTGTCGATATTTGGCTTGATAATTCTCACAATGTATTTACTTTAATTCTCATTCACAAAATATAAAGTCCTCATAAAAATATTCAAAACCGGAATCAGACTGTAAAGATTCAGGTAAGAAGAACATTTTGGCCAAAAGATAGGTCAATAAACAGATGGAATCAAGAACATTATTTACTGATAAACTTTTATTTATATTTTTCTAAACAATTAGCTTTATGTGTGAATTTTAAGATAAACCTATCTTAAAGTGATAACAGTTGAGCCACACATTTATGTTTTTATTCCGTCACTTGCTTAATATTTTTTTTTAAATTCTAAAATTAATGTTTTTCAAAATAAATTTGTCACAAAATAATTTTAAAATTCACAAAATAATCAACAAAGTCTCAATTAAATGCCAACTCACAATAGCCACTTTATTAATCCACTTTTCATAATCAGCCCATATGTACTGATCGATTGAGACTTTCGGATAATTCAAAGGTGGAAGCGGTGATTTAACAACATAATCATGCTGTGCACTTTGTGATACATTCGATGTTGTAATTGCACGACTTAATAATCTATTAAACTTTTTACTTTGACAATAAAAACTAAAATCTTTAAAAACAAATTTATTAAATTTTTTAAGCATCTTCACGCCACGAATCCGAAAACACAAGTGACTTGAGTGAGAGAATCTTTTTAAGTCATGTTGTTGTGTTGTTATCAGTTGCTGCTAGTCTTGGTGTACACAGAGAGAATTTTTTTTCGGGAGAGTTTTTTGGAACTGGTTAATTTTGTTTACCCGGTGAGGTAGAAAACAATACAAAATTCGCAGAGTTGGCGATTAAGTTCTCATTATCAGGTACACAAGAGAGCGTCCTTAAAATAAAATTAAATAAACCCCTCAAACAATGAGCAGTCTGCAGCAGCGTGACAAGGGAGCATCAGAGATGCCACAAAAAAAAACCATGAGTCTCATATAAGCTAATTCCATAGAAATCCTAGCTACGTCCATAGCATGCTCTCAATTATCAATCAAGTAATAAATAACAATGAAACCAATTTTACCGCATATAAAATTTTATTTGTATAATATTTGTTCAAACATATCGCTTCTTCAACTCTCTCCTTAAAATTTTTCCAGTGGCATTTTTGGGTATCGAATCGACAAACTCGACACCACCAGCCAGTCTTTTAAATTCACTCACTTTTTGTGCCACAAAATCTTGAACATTTTTCTCATTTACAGAAGAATCTTTCCTAGCCACAACAAAAGCTCGAGGAAGCTCACCAGTTGCTGCATTTGGAATTCCAATAACAGCTGCGTCAGTGATTTCTGGATGCATTCTGAGAATTTCTTCTAATTCTGCTGGTGCTACTTGGAATCCTTTGACTTTAATAAGTTCCTTTAATCTGTCTGTGATGTAAAAGTCTCCATTTTCATCATGATGTCCAATATCACCTGTCCTCAGCCATCCATCAGCTGTGAGTGTTTCCTTTGTTGCCTTCTCATTATTTAAATACCCGAGCATGACTTGTGGACCTCTTACCAGAATTTCTCCAGTTTTATTGGGTCCTAAACCACGGAACTCTGAATCCTCAATATCCACAATTTTCGATTCTGTATCATAAATTGGATTTCCAACACTAGCGTAGTTCCTTGATGTTTTTGACATTGCATGAGTTACAGGACTTGCTTCAGTTAATCCATACGCTTGTATATATTGAGTCCTTGGTGCTATTTTCAAGAATTTTTCCATATCTCCGGGACCCAAAGGTGCTGCTCCACATAAAACATATTCCACGGACTTTGTATGTTCCTGACGAATTTTATCGTAGCTGTTGAAGAAAATAACTGAAAATTAAGAAGTCATTAAAAAATCATTTTGATTCAATTTGCAAAATTACTTATTGGAGGAACCAAATGAAGTACATTTCCTTGATATTTCTCCATAGCATTCAAAAACGTATCAGGATGGAACTTAGGAAGAGTAATGATTTTGCAACCTTGAGCTAATTTCGATAAAAGTGTCACAACAAGTCCATAAATATGGAAGAATGGAAGAACACAAGGAACAACATCCTGATAATCACCGATGGAATCATGAGTCACTCCAACTTCTTTATTTCTCATGGCTATTGAGTTTGATATGATGTTTTTGTGAGACAACATGACTCCTTTGTTGAGACCTGTGGAATAGAATTCAATAATGTTGAGGATATAAAGAAGCCTATTTTATGTTTATCAAACCTGTTGTTCCACTGTAAATAAATTAATAATAAAAATAATAGTAAATTAGTTTGAAAATTCTATAAAAGTAGTTAACATACCTGGAGTAAGGCAAAAATGTCACAGAGTTGCAGTCACGAACAACTTCTTTTAGCGACGTCAAATCAAGACCTTGAAAAAATATATAAATTATTTTGATTGGTCAATTTTAAAAGAAATGCTTTAAAAGAATCTGTGCTGCGAGTAGTCTTAGCCGGTGTGACTAGGGTTTCTGAAAAACGGCATTTTCGAAAACGGCCGTTTTCCGTTTTTTATTTTCAAAAACGGCCGTTAACGGGCCGTTTTAAGTTTTTTAAATAACCAAATATAAATGAAATATTCCTCAAAAGATAAAGAATTGCTGTGCTATATGGGCACGGATTGATTTTTCTAAAATATTCATCTTTGAATCGAATTTTCTCTTAATTAGAGAACTTTGCAGCTGCAATTTTTTCACAAACTTGTGTAAAACGCCGAGCTCTTTCATTCTATCTAACTTACGCATCTTGTCATGCCTTAATTAATGAAATATTTGGATTTTTGTGAGCGTTGGTATATTACACAATGTTGAATTCTGAACATGAAAGCAGAAATTTACCACTTTAAAGACATCTAGACAACTATTAATGTTGTCTTTATTGTCAACCGTTCTTTCTATCCTCTTCTATGATTCTGCATACTTAAATTGACTTGAAAGACACTCGATAGACAGAAAAATGAATAATTTTAATGCAATTAATGTAATATACCAACGCTTAAGCCAAATCCGTGAGGAAATAATTTTTAAAAAACCAATTTTTACTTTAATTAACAATAATTTCTTTGATTTGAACCTTGTTTTTAAAAGTTTAATGGTCAATGAAGATCTTTAACTCGCTTTAAAAAGTGTAAGCTTAATTAAAGTTTATTTGTGAAGCAATCAAATTTTTAAAGAACATGGATCAAAAATTTATTTTTTTCGAAATGCAACTCATCCGTGGAATTGCCCATATAGATAATATGTAGATTTCTATTTACATTTATTATAACTATTTATTCATTTTATTATAATAGAACTTAAGAAAAACAAGAGCATTTAGTGATGCATCAGCCAGCCTTGAACGAATCTTTGTGCAAAAATTATTGCAGATTGAAAATATTCGCTCTACATCTGTAGATGTAGGCTTAATACACAACAAAGCATCATAAAGTTTTTGAAGATTTTCCGATCGATTTCCTGTATTTTTCATAAAAATACATAAAAATCAAATATGAAAAACCCGTTGTAATTCTTGAGTCCAGATTTTGATTTGTTGTATCTAATCAACAAACAAAACTGGACTCGCAACTATGATTACATTTCTGATTCTAATATACTACTTGAAATGAGATTTTCAAACTTTCCAGGCAATCCATAATAATAAATCTCAATTTCAAAAACTTTTAACTGTTTTTGAGAATAATTTTTAAAAGAAATAAACAAAAAAAATTTTTAAAATTACATTGTATGAACTATGAGAAAACGGAAAAACGGAATGAAAAACGGCCGTTTTCCGTTTTCAATTTTTGTGCCGTTAACGGCCGTTTTCCGTTTTTCGTTAACGGCTTCAGAAACCCTAGGTGTGACTCTAGCATGGTGCTGGATTTAAATTAAAGCCAGCATCATCCCAGTGTCATGCCAGCTTTTCACCGGATTCCTATTCGATCAACCGAATTGTGCTATTCGGTTAGGGGTTCTCACAGCACAGAATAGTCACAGAAACAAAAATATCTTTAACTTAGAAACTGTTCGGTGATGCACACCATTAATCCCCTGTTATTTGCCATAATTATGAAACCACCAGATACCACCCACTTTAATTAATTTAAATGTCTAGTCCACATGATTTGTAAATTAATAACTTGTGAACAAAAGCATGTACCTTACATCACAGTCTGTATAATAATCCATTCATTTACAAAACCTCATTATTTAGTGGTCAATTATGATATTTCCAGCTCAACTCACTTTGTGTATTAATTAACTCGTCAAATCGAATTCCATCTGCTGGAATCGCGTCACCCGGTGAACTTGTAGTGTAAATGACCTTTATTGCCATTTTCGACTTTTGAACAGCTTCTTTCAAAACATTACTCATGCTTGCCTCACCGAATAAAATTTTTGCACCGCTATCAATTAATTGGCGCGAAATCTCATCTATAAATAAGAGTACGAAATAAATAATAATATTATCATACAAAAGTAAAAGTGATAAGCATTGTTGACATAATTAAAGATTAAAAGCGTGTGAAATGAAAAATTGTCAAACCTTAATTTATATCTTATCAATAAAGCTAAGTTTGGGGGTATTTTTATCTTATAAATAATTGGTTTAAATTGGAAACTTAGTGTCAGACCATACCTGACGTATATACTGGATTGATTGTTGTTATTATCATCCCTGCTTCACATCCACCTAATGCTACGATTGGGAATTCTATAGAATTTGGAATGCAAAGTGCAATCGTGTCATTTGGCTGTAGATTCAGAGATGTTTGAAGTCGGACTGCTAAGGCACGGCATTGATCACGAAGCTCACTGTATGTTATGGATCTGTCTGTAATTCCGTCAACCTAAGAGAGAAAGGAGGATGAGTCAGCACTTATGTTTCTCATATATAAGTTCCAAAAAAACTAAGTCAAGAAGCACAGAAACGAGAGTAAACGTAAAATGAGATAATGTGCAATAAAATTCCATATTAAGCTTCGATGACCTTGGAGATCTCAGCAAAATTCTTGGATTATCAAATAGGTGTGTTCAAAGTCCACGAGATTCTGTGTTTGAATTACTCGATAAGCTCGTTGAGTTTTTGGTGATTTTTTTTTAAATTGATTTTAATTTCAACTTACAATTGCTATCTTATTGCTCCATTTGTCAATATCAGCCCAAACATACTGATCAATCGAACAATCTGGATATACCAAAGATTTCAGTGGTGATTTGACTACAAAATCTTGCTTACTGTTGAATTTAATATGAGAAGTTGAAAGTGCTCTACTAAAAACCTTACTAAACTGCCTACTTTTACAATAAAAATTAAAATCTCTTAAAACTAATGGATTAAACTTTTTTATAAACATCTTTCCGACTTGAATCCAAAAACTCGAATGAGTGGATTGAGAATGTTTTATTCTCAAGTGTGGATGTGAATGTGTGGTTATCAGTGTCTTATCATTGAATTGCTCATTTAGGTTTGTATAATCATTAAAAGCTTAATCAGCTTGTTGAAAGTTTATGTAATAATGATGAGAATTCAAAATCAGGTAGGGGTCGTTGACTCATTAGGCAGGGGGTCTTAAAAGTAGTTTTTCACGTAACATAATAAATGAACGACCCTTTAATTATTTAAAATTAAATTAAACTTTTTATTGGTAATTTAAATGTGTTTTTTCAGGTCT